ATGTAGTTTATATATTAGTGAACAACACACTTCTTTTCAACATGTGACGGTTTCTTGAAAATGTTAAAAATGCCGATTTTTCGACAGTTTTTCCGAAAGTTAGATGTGGTCACAGGTAATTATAAGAACAACTTTCATACTTACCATATGTATAAAATATCCATGCGGATTATCATTGTTGTTCTTGCTTGTGGCCAAAATGAAATTTGACTTTACATTTAATTTTTTAAAAATGCCTCCAACAATCGCTATTGCTAGTTTTGATAATCAATCGGATATTTGCATTTCACATTTAAGATCCAAAAATTATATACAAGATGATAGGAAAGCAATCAATTTTTTTTGTATAAGAACAGATGTTGAAAGGAATCTATAAAAACATTTTCTAAAATCAAAATCTGGAAAAGCTTCTGGGTTTTTATTTTGATTAATATACCGACCATGTTATGCGGACTGTATTTGTTGTTCGAAACACATGTATTTTTGCAGTAAGAAATTTAAAGGTAAAATATGTGCTTATACTAATGTTCATTTTAAATGTAAGTGTATAAAAGAAACATTTCTGAAGCCTGTGTGAAAATATGCTTGAAGGCTCACAAATATTAAACCCATCTTAAGGTACTTACCACAATTTTATTACCTTTGTTCATTTTTGTTTGTTTGGAGTATTATCTGAGAAAGTTTCATATGTTCTGGTGACAATGCCAATTTTGGTACTTTGTGGCTTTAGCTCTGGTGCCCTTTATTAGTTGTGGGGTAAATTTATTTTTTCTTTTAAAGGATCTAAGGTCGACGTGTCAATTATCAGAATAAGAAGTCCGCCAAACTTGTTTATTCTTATTTTCAGTCAATATAAAAATAAATTTTAATGAAAAGTTTAGTTTCTTTATATTTTTGGATAAGATTCTAAATTGATTTAATATGTCTTTTCAAATATAGGATGGTATTTATCGGGCAATAGGTCCAGCCCCAAAGCACATGTGTTTCGCCATTTTTTTGTAAAATGAAAGTTATATAAATTTTATTTCATGCATCCCAATTTTATCGACTATTTTAAGAACGTTGAAAGCAATGTTATTAAACTATAGAGAAATGTCGATAAACATTAAATTTTGCTCTTTTCACAATATTGAAAATACGCTGAAATTTTTTTGTAACCCATCAAGCAACATGAAAATTGCATGAGTTGTTCCTTAATTAATGTAACACTCTAGTGCCCATCAAACCAAGTTAGGAAACTAAATTCGACAGGCTTAAATCATATGGTTTGTCCAACTCTGAAACTGAACAGTTCTAAATCTGAAGACTTTTAGAATGTCTTTTGTGGAATATATACATATATTTTTTTAAATAAAATCTTTGAAGAAGGACTAATGCACAATGATACATGTATATCTTTGATCTCTTCTCGTATATGGTATATCTGTAAGCCACGATAGGAATTCAAAGGTTTTATTTGGATTTATATGTATATATAGAGAAATTCATTTTTGAAAATCTTCTTAAGATTGTCTCAATGTCTCTAGATAATACAACCATCACATGTACTTTAGATTCACATTCGGTCAAGTCATTTCTCTAGGGCAAAGGTCGTTTCGCAAAAGGGGACCCAAGTTTTAGGAATGAATATTGGAAAAATCTTTTTAGAAACACCAGTACCGCCAATAAGAGTCAACTGAGCGCAGTTTCCAATGGTCTTTCTATGAATATACTTGGAATGGATACTTACATTGATTAAGAACCAGAACGAGTTAGTGAACTAGGATATTTTGGATGTATAACATACTAGTATCAGAATGTTTTTGGTTATTCTAAATGTAAACATTTGATTCAAATTTAAAATTCTTAAAATCTAATACGTTTTTGGAAATTGAGATCTAAGTTTTAATCAAATCTTAAAAAAAAAAAAAAAAAAAAAAATGTGTTGAAGAGTTAATTTATCATTTAATAGACATGTTTTTTGTTTGTTTGTTTTTTAATTTAACATTTGTCAAACGTTGATGAAGCAAAGTAAAAATTCTCAAGAATTTTCGTTTTGCAAATTTCCGATGTCCGTCATCTACCGACGAATTTACGGAAGACCTGCAGTATTTTTTTTTCTCTAACACTAATCGATGCTTCTGGTGAAATTTTTTTTTCCGGATATATTGTACAAAGAATTTATCGGTGATTGTTCAATGGATTTACCCTAAATTTTCTGTTAATAGTGACGATTAAATTGTATACAAACTCTCGATTTTTCAGCCAGAAGTTATCACTATCATACTGAAGTTTAGAGGATCGTGTGTCTATTCTGGAACTTTAAAACACACAAACAGACAAACAAAAGAAAAACAAAAAAGAGCTAAAGCTCTGAAATGCTGCTTTTGCTGGACCTTGATCAAAACATTTTCCAGAGTGTGGTTTGAAAATTGCAGTCATTTTGACATGTAACCCAATTTGGCAAAAAGGGGTGAAGGGAGTGAGGGTATATATTTTTTTTAAAGGAGTTTGTTTTAAACATTAATAGTGAATTCTAGGAAATTAAAGTGTAGCTCAGTGTAATCCTGGAAATAAACATGCGTTTAAAAGCCCAGAAAATAAGGTTTAGAGAAACACAGCCTAAATTAAATATCGAAATAAATTTTCTTTTGTTCCTAGTGTGACATTATGAATATATTTTAAATTTTTTGTAAAAAATATTTTTATTGACCGAAAATGGTACCAAGTACGAGAACAAACCAAGCTATGAAAGATTGGCCAGTGTAATACCTGCTAAGGTGAATCAGATAGGCGTCTGCCTGTTAGCGCTTTGTTGTATCTGTTGTGTATTAATGATTTTGCTCTATAGTCAGTATTTTCATCGCATTATTTTAATTTTTGGCCACAATCAGTATTTTCATCGCATTATTATATGATAACCACGTTACTTTACATGCGTTCGTTTTTTGTTTCGTAATGGCCTAGTTTTATCGAATATGAATGATAAATATAACATATGGAAATTTTTAGAGATACTTATCAAAAAATGGACCACCAAAAGGAAGTGATTTTGTATACATATCTCTGTCAGCTTAAGCTAGGTAGAGATAATTGCACTTTTTTGCCATATAACACAGTAACTACTGATTATGATTCATACATCACAGTATAACTACCCACCGCAGAAGTACAGTACAGCTAGACTTAACGATTTTTGTTTAAAAAAATATCTGCATAAATCGAATATAAGACTTAAAAATTGATGTAAAGTATTTAAAACCAGTGTGAAAATATGGCGATGGTGGGATCCGAAACTCTGGTAAACATGCCATAGAGAGAGAGGATATATGTACATGTATCAGGTTTTAAAAGTTGGGCTTTGAAAATTCGAAGTCCCCTACTTCATTAGGGACCCATAAACTGTAAACATAGTGAAAGTACCATTTCTAATTTTCGAGATCAAAGCCCGGGTTTGCTATGGAGAATAGTTGCTTGGAAACATCGACATCTCTTACTTACAACGCTTCTTCTTCAGGCGACCATCGTAAAGATCATAGACATCGACTGTCAAAATATGATAATGGTACCATCTCTAGTCTCTGAGACCCGAGCCTGAGGATAATACATATATGCTACGGTTGTCATAACAGTATTTCATTTGAGGTTAACGTCAAAACATGACGCAAAATAATTCCTGAATCTCCCCTCCCGATTCGGGCATTTTGGCACGAGACGGGAGCTGAATTTTTTTTTATGAGATGAAAACTATATGTAAACTTCCCGTATTGACCAGATTCATTATAATTGAAGGCGTGCTGATTTTTCTATATACTGTATGTGAGTGGGGAGTGATTAGGTCCTGAACTTGATTTTCAAGCACCTGCTCGACTTCGACTGGACGGCTATGTATTTTTGGTACTAAAATCTTTATAAAGAATTATTTTACAAGATCTGAAAAGGAAACCTCTCAAAAGTTTGTTTTAAATTAAGACCACCTACTCAAAGTTGCGCATTTTTGGTAAGAATATATATGCTTTAGCAAAATTTAATACTGTTGTGCAACCTACGGAGCATGAGCTTTGAAGATCGGGCTCGGAATTTAATAGTAAAAAGTCCCATATGTGCACGGAGATTGCATACGTGCATGGGTTCCATCCCCATCCATTTTCAATTCCTTTTCTTTTTTTCATCGAATAATTTTTGCAGACAGATTGTTTAGTTTCTAGAGAAAAAGTCTTTTTTGATAATGTATACCACATTAGTTATAAAACATTGCATTAAAGTTTTCGTAATGGTTGAAGTCTATTCTTCCCACCATGGGTGTTATTCTTGTCATATTTGCCCATGTACTTCAGATTGAAAATCAAATTTTATTTTTATACAATCGCAAGCACTTCCAACACCCTGCTGATCGATCCTTCTTGGAGGCTATTTGTTTGTATGTCAAAGGCACCGTTCCGCGATTGTATGAATAAGTGATATAACCTTTACAGATAATGTAGAAACCCTTTGAATTCTTTTATCATTTTGAGTTGTGAAAGATATTTAGCATAGAAAGAAAATCATTTATTTGGTGCGTAACCAACTCCTCTCTCTCTCCGCAAAGCCATTTCAAGTCATAAAATGTGATATTTAGTATATATGTCATCTGTCTAATGAAAAATGGTTTCCCTTAAGAACATACTTAATGTTAAGTTGCAGATCCTAAGTCAATAATATTCTAGATAGACAATAAATCTTTTTTATTGTATTGACAAAATGTATCTATGAAGTGCAAAAGTTTGTATACAGCTTAGGCAAATTTCAATGAACATCGCAATGCATTCAAAAATGAATGCATAGAACGAGGATGATCCGCTTATTAACATTTACAATGATGTCTCTTGAAGAGAAAATAAGAGCGTTCACGCCAGATGCTTGTAAAAATGTTCCTCTAGAGATTTCCTCGCCTCATAATGCGCGCAACATTTGTTGCCACGATCTACGGAATAACAAAATTACGGCGATTACATGTACCAATTTGATAAACTAAACCCAGGGATTGCAACAATAAAATTTATATCGATTAACTATCTCTGATTTTCGTCTGTTTTTCAGAGGAATGCTTACGCCGCTTGAAGTTCAGAATATGTATTATCCAATAAGACTTCTCACGCCCCTTTAAATCGATTTTGAGAGCTGAAGAAACCACATGGATGCGTTCTCGTTATCTGCCTGCCAAGTGTTAAAACAGTGGCAGATTTGTCAAACACGTGTTTGACATAAAATAAAACTTTCTGGGCCTGGCATCCGATTGCTGATCTTATTCTGGACTCCGAGGAACAAATAAACTGATACATTGATCTGAAACGTAAGTATATATTTTTGGGTAATCAAATGTATGTGTAGCAGTAGACATATATTTTCAGCCTAATGATATGAATAGCTTTGTAATAAAAGATATACATGTATATATTTAAAAATCAAAATTTTAATTTTCGAATATTCTTTGCAATTGCATCCACCCCGAGGAAGTTCGCAGCGTCTTTGCGTTTCGGAGCGAGACACCCGTGAACATCGGTTACTCCTTTTTAATCTACTTCTTACCACTTTCTTAATTGGTTTCATGATTATTATTATTATTTTCTATGTGTGCATAATCTTACTTATTAATAAATGCTAAATGCTAAACAATCGCGCGAAGACAAGTTGACGTTCAGTTATTGATATTCTGGAATAGTGCTGATAGTTTAGATATTTTTGTATTTTCAGTATATTTCTCAGATTTTTTTTCAAAATAGAATGGATATTTATTTGTAAATGTAAAAAAAAAATATTTTTGATGAATCCCCCCCAAAGAAACAATGTATAAACTGTATGTACATGTATTTCAGGAAAACTTTTAATTAACCAAATAATTAACTGACGATTGTCAGTGTCAACTTTTTTCTACATGTATATAGGTCTATTTCTGATTCTGCAACAAGAAATCAATAAAGACGATATGGATGGACTGAGAAATATTTAACTTATCTAAAAAAAAAATTTCCATAAATATCCATAGTTTAACGACAATAAACTGAAATGTTAAGCCAAAGTAAACCCCGATGGTAGTTCGTGTTAATAACTGAATCCTCTCATCCTGCTTTACCAATGTTTTAATAAAGATGAATTGAATACATTAGATCATCCTCAACAAAGATAAGTATGTTTCATAACTAAGTCATCATAAGTGATCAATGGTCCAGGTCACATGATGTCATCACCATTATTAGATGACGATCTGAACACTCTATCCATAATAGGAATAAACATGACGTTGCAAGCACCATTGCGAGGGTCGACTCTGTTGTTGGAAAATCATTTTGTTTTTCCTGTCTGTGATGGAGGGAAATGATCCACAAAGATTTTTTTCTTTTACATATGTCAAAGTCAAAAACCAAGGGTCAACCCCAACAACAGTTTCTTAATACCATGTGTGGAGTTTGACAAATTATGCCGTTAGGTAGGTTACATGGGAGCAAGAGAGTTAAACAAAAATTGTTGGCACAACCAGACACACGCAAAAACCACAGGGAAGTTTTTTTTTATCGTTATCAAAAAAAAAAAAAAAAAAAAAAAACACCGGGAAAAAATATTCCACACTCTACTAAAAAACGATGGCAACGAGTTTTTTGGAGGACACACCTAATAAATATATCTGGAATTAGCCTGGAAAGTACTGGGACTAATTCAGCAAACGGAGTGTTTGAGCTATTCAAGTAAAATCTACTTGACGACCAGGGGCCGTGTCTGGATTTTTTTTCCACCTCGACAGCTCATCCCTGACTCCATGTCACTTAACCGGAGGTAAACTCCGCAGTGATTATACTCGGTCAGTGTAAAAACTACATTTGTGATCAATTTGAGCAACATGTACATGTATATCAATTTTTTTGACAAAAAGAAAAATTCATTCCCAGGTTGCTAATTCGAGCTGTTAGGACATCATGGATCATTTCTTTGTTGACTCGTCTTTTCGATTATTTAAATTTGGCGCCTTTTGAAATATGGATTATATGCACCTGGTGCATACCGGAATTTAAGCAGAAAAAGAGTTCATATAAGTTTGACTGTTCTTGTAATTATATTTTGATATTATTGATTCGAATTTCGTAGTAGAATCGTTTAGTTTATTAGTCTAATATCGGAGAAACCGGGGAGAAATATAGGTTTCCCTCTTGTCTGTCCGTCTAGCTGTCCCTCTGTCTGTCTACCCCACTTAGTTTTTCGGACTTTTTTTTAATCGCTTGCAGATATTGAGTTGATTTTTTATATCAAAGTGTATCTTGATGAATTATAAATCAAGTGTGCATTTTGTTCCGCTTCGATGATTTGTGATGGAATTAATTACAGCCTTTTTAATTTTTAAGGGTAAACAGATTTCAGCATACTTTTCCTAAATGCTTACAGATATTGAGCTTATTTTTTGGGTATGTGCGTCTATAGATCAAGTTTGCTTTTTGTTCCGGTTCAATGATTTTCGATAGAATTACGACCTCTTCAATTTTTTAGGGGAACCAGATTTCACTGGTCGACAGGGGACTAGCATTGCTTATGCAACACTCCATAAAAATACTTGTTTAGACTTTAAATATTCACTGCAGAGTTCACTTCCGATTGAGTGGCATGGAGTCAGGGATGATTTGTCGAAGTGGGAAAAAGGCCAGACACGAGCCATAGTCGTCAAGCCGATTGGATTTTTTCTAACTTGAATAAATAGTTCAAACACGCCGTTTGCTAAATAAGTCCCGAAACTTCCCAGACTAAACCCGGACATAATTTTAAATGGATTCCCCGAAAACCTCGTCGCCATTTTGTTTTGTTTTGTTTTGTTTTGTTTTTTGTTTGTTTGTTGTTTTTTTTTTAAAGTAGAAGATGATTTTTTTTAACGACAAAAGCTTCAGATTCCTGTGCAAAGAGAGACATTAAACTATTGTCTCGTAAGGAAGTTTAATAAATATGTTGGCTTGATAAACTCGAGGTACACTTGTACATAATTGTTAACAAAGAGATCAACTGATTTATTGATTTGCCAGAGAACAGTTCCTTACATTTTGTATAAATGTTATGTTTATGTTCCTTTTGTATTCGCTCATCTGTTCATCTGTGCATACTTTTTCCCAGAACTCGCAGCATTTTGACGTGTCACTCTTCAATCTTTTTCAATATTATAAAGGAAAACTTTTCCTAATTAATTGTGAAGCCAAATTATATGTTCTTGAATTTTAAAAGTAAACAGCAAAAAATGATATCCGCTCTCCAATGAAGAGCAGGTCTTCGTCAGAATAATGCAGACACATTTTGTTTAACAATTAAAACCAGAGCCTCCGGTAGTCTTACATGTACATGTACTTCATTAATAATGCAGTTTTCTATGAGGCGCAACATCAAATCGAATTAATAATGACACATATTCAAGATACTCAAAAAATGATTATTCAAAAAGGGGCATCTCCAGTTCAAATAGGGACATTCTTTTGGAATCATATATATATATATATATATATATATATATATATATATATATATATATATATATATATATGTTAACACAAATGTAGGTGATATCAAAAATCGGTATAGGTATTATCCCAAGTGAGAACAAGCGATTTAATCATTTTCGACATGCAAGGATATAATTTTTTAAAATGTGGTATCGGAGGACTTATCACCGTTCCGATGGGCGATATCATATAGTCACGTGATATCGTGTCCTTGGCTATTGCTTTTCAGTTCGTGGAATCCGTGATTGCCGCCTAGTATGGAACGTTAAATTAACATATATTCAAATATTTGAACCTATCTCCAATTAATTGTACCTATCTTCAAATCAATTGTACCTATCTTCAAATCAGTTGTACCTATCTCTAAATGAATTAAAGATAGGTTTAATTCAATTATACCTATCTTTCATTCTTTTGAAGGAAGGTACGAACGATTTAAAGATAGGTACAAATGCTATGAATTAAAGATAGGTGTAATTGATTTAAACATAGATGCAATTGATCGAATTAAACCAATCTTTAAATATAAAGACACTGATAATAACAACTACTCCCCCCCAAAAATGCTTTATTCGGTTCCCTCCATGTTCAAGTAACTGTAGGAGGGGGCTCTCATTATTTTCCATAACACAAAAACAAATGGTACCTATCTTCAAATCCTTTGTAGATATGTTTTAATTGTGCCTATCTTCAAATCAATTGTACCTATCTTTAAATCAGTTGTGCCTATCTTCAAATGAATTTAAGATAGACATAATTCAATTGAACCTATCTTTAATTGAATTAAAGATAGGTGTAATTCCATTGAAGATAGGTGTAATTTATTTGAACTTAGGTTTAATTGTTTAGAGATAGGTATGAATATTTTCACCTATCTTTAATTCATTTAGACCTATCTTTAATTCAATTGTACCTATCTTTAACTCAATTGTACCTATCTTCAATTCATTTGGAGATAGGTTCAATTATTTGAGTATTTGAAGATACGTTCAAAAATTTGGCGTGCCATAACCTAGCGTTGAAAATTTGAAAAGTTGGTAAAAGCAGAAGTATCTAATATGATGAAAAATGCAACGTTAGCACATTCAGAATCATCGATAACACTATCAAGTCAGATATCATTTCATAAAATATTGAAAAATGCGATATATTAATTGAATATTATATAATTTTCACATGCTCGGATATTTTGAAACCAAGTGGAATGCCAAGTTTGTTTATATATACGAGCATTTAGCCTTGTACGATAAATATCGACTCTTGCGAATTCGGAATCCCCCCTCCTCCCTCCATAATTGAAGCACTGTAATAATTTCAGGATATAAGCAACACATATTGTAGCTGCAATAATGCAACCTTCTCAATTTTTTTTTTTGAGTGGGAGGGGCTGGGGTGGGGTGGTAGTTGTCCTCCCAAAAACACCAATTTAAAAAAAAATCGGGCTACATTATTGCAGCTATATATATTGCAGTTGCGTAGAGGCGTAGAAAAAGAACACTCATTGATTCTTTGTAGGTCCAGATGTATCATTTTGGTATACGTATTAAATCAGGAACATTCAATATCAGTCTTATTACTGATGTTTTATATCCATGATACATACTGTACAATCAAAGAGATATTGCAAATGACTCTTACTTAAGGAAAATGTATATTCCCGAAAAAACAAATCTACTGTGTGTGAACCAGACTATATAGTCTAATGTTTTAGTAAAGTTTGCCTAAGCTAAACGACTACTCTAAATGTATACCATCCATAGCTGTTGTATTATGATGCTCATAATGTACCAACCATTGGATGATTTAGACTTGCATTTGACATGTT